AATATGCTTAGTACGATCGTGAAGAACCGGATTAAGAGCAATACGAATCGCACTGGTATTATCTGCATATAGCCGCATCGGAAGAACACAAGAAAGACCAAGCTCACCCACCAACCGTCGCAGCCAAACGAGTTCAGAAGTCACTTCTGACATGGAGCGATACTCGGCTTCAGTGGAAGATTTAGAGACTCGCTCTTGCTTCTTACAACGCCAGGAGATAAACGAGAAACCAAGTCGCGCACACCAGCCAGAGGTGGACCGCCGAGTATCCAGGCAGCCCGCATAGTCAGCATCGGCATACGCCTCAATCACTGGATCACCAGAGGAAGAAAAGAACATACCAACATCAATAGTCCCCCGCAAATATCGAAGAATGCGACAAATAGCCACCATGTGGGTAGTACGAGGAGCAAACATAAACTGACTAACAACCTGAACAGCATAAGAAATATCAGGCCGGGTATGAGTAAGATATATCAAACTCCCTACCAGGCTTCTATAAGACGATCCATCAGGAAGCAAGTCACCATCAGACTGACGCAACTTCAAATTCTGTTCCATAGGTGTGGCACACGGTTCGCATTCATCCATATTTGCAGTCTCGAGAAGGTCAACTATGTACTTCTGTTGACTAACCAGTAATCCAGCCGATGAACGATGAACTTCTAAGCCCAGAAAGTAGGAAACATCGCCCAGCTCCTTGAGTTTAAACGCAGAATGTAGGGTTCGAGTAAGCTCCTGAATACCCAGTTGATCATCCCCACTTACCAGCATATCATCCACATATATAAGCAACACTGTGATACCACGGGCTGTGCGGCGAACAAACAAGGAGGGGTCGTTGTCACTTTGAGTAAATCCAGCCAACAAGATCGTATCCTGAAATTTCTCAAACCAAGCACGTGGTGCTTGTTTGAGACCGTATAGAGAACGTCGTAGGAGGCATACCTTCGACTTATCTCCGCCCAAATAGCCGGGAGGACATTCCATATAAATAGTCTCCTTAAGGTCGCCATGAAGGAATGCATTTTTAACATCCAACTGCTTAAGACACCATCCCTTCATAGCAGCCACCGCAAACAAGGTCCGGACTGTCTGCATTTTAGCCACAGGAGCAAAGGTCTCTTCATAATCAATACCAAACTTCTGTCGAAAACCTTGCGCCACAACTCTAGCTTTAAAGCGCTCAAGAGAACCATCTGGATGGAGTTTCACATTATAGACCCATTTGGATCCAATGACAGGAACATTAATAGGTCGGGGCACAACCTCCCACGTCTGATTGGCCTCAAGAGCCTGAACTTCAGTCGTCATCGCTGCGTCCCAATCTGGATTCCCGCGGGCCTGTTTATACGAGGCAGGAATGGGAATGTGTGATGTCGAGAATGAGACAAAATCAGTCATGCGAGCAGGAGGCTTCCCTCTCATGGTACGGTCCGGCCGACGTAGCGGGATGGGAGGTTCCTCCACAAGTTCTTCTTCAAGATGAGAATCAGGCGACGAGCTGGAACTTGCTCCCGTTGAGGAGGACATGGCCGAGCCGATAGGGGAAGGAGCATCTCCAGTGAAGGCTGATGCGTGCCGAGAGGAGCCAGAATTCGATGAAGAGGACATCTCAAACTCAAATGATGTCGCATCATGAGGAGGAGAGGGCGGTGGATCAAGCTCAGGCCCAGCAGGTGTCGCCGCAACAGGGAACGATGGTAATTCAAGAAGAAAATCCAGGTCTTGCCGTGGAGCAGACTCCTTGTGATCATAATAGGATAAATGTTCCAAAAAAGCAACATCACGAGAAATCCGGATCCGGCGATTAGGTACGTCATAACAAACGTATCCTTTATGTTTGTCACTGTATCCAACAAACACACACTTCACAGCCTTCGGAGACAACTTGTTTCGCTCACGACTAGGTAGTAAGACGTAACAGACACACCCGAACACTCGCAGCTCTTTGTAAGCTGGCCGTTTTCCAAAGAGAGCTTCATACGGGCTGCGTTGATCAAGTATGGGTGTGAGCTGCCTATTAATCAAGTAAACCACAGTGTGAATCGCCTCAACCCAGAAAGTAGACGGGACACAAGACTGAAATAAAATTGCTCGAGTCAGTTCCAAAACATGCCGATGTTTACGCTCAACTAGACCGTTTTGTTGGGACACACCCGGACATGACTGTTGAGGTAAAATACCGCATTCTTTGAACACTTCTTGGAGGGGACCAGAGATAAACTCCCCCCCAGGGTCCGATCGAATCACCTTGACCATCTTGCCAAACTGCGTTTTAACCATTTGCAAAAATTCCTTCGCCACTTTCAGTAAATCCGATTTATGACGAAGAAAGTAAACCCAAGCAAATCGTGTAGCATGATCCACAAAAAGAGCAAAATACCGGAACCCAACACGTGATGTCACAGGAGATGGCCCCCACAAATCAGTATGCACCAAATCAAACGGATCAGAATACTCGGTGGTACTAGCAGTAAATGACTGTTGAGAAAGTTTTGCCTTAATGCAATGAACACAGTCACGAGAATCACAAACTGAACTGCCAGATAAAAAATTCTGTTTAAACATATCCAATAATCTAGCCGAATGAGGATGGCCTAACTGACGATGCCATAAATCCCAGTTGGAGAGTTTCACAGAATAGCCAAAATTATCAAAATGACTAGACCCAGATACGACACTAACACCACACGGATTCCTCTAGCTCGCTCCTCTTTCTTCCTTTCCAGGCGATCCACAGTAACTATCCAGAGTGAACACGCGCCCCACCTTAGTCCCGTGGCCTATCTCCCTCCCTGTGTTCTTGTCCTGCACAACACAGCCATGAGAATCAAAGACCACCCGGCAGCCCTGCTCGGCCAACTGCCCGACAGAGACTAGGCTAGGAACAAGATGCGGCACATAGAGGGTATCTTTGAGACATAAACTAGAGTGATCAATATCGCCAATACCCTTCGCAGGCAAACAGGTACCATCCGCAACTTGAAGCATAAGAGGAGAAGTAGGACGCAAGGAACTAAACGACGAACTAGTGCCTGTCATGTGATTAAATGCAGCAGAATCAATATGCCAAGAGTTAGGAGAACGAGAAGGCATACCAGCAGTGAACACGGAACCAAGAGCAGTCGGAAGAGCCTCCTTGATTGCGTCCTGAACCAGCTGTCTAATAAAGTCAGCATTCACAGATCCCCAGGAGGCGCAGCAGCGGAAGGAGTCGCAACAGTAGTGGCAAAGGCTGAGCCCGAAACAGCCCCAGTCCCAGACCCTCGAGGCGTGCTACTCGACGGGGAACCAGCGGGACGAGAACGGCCACGCTTAGCCAAAATCGGGCAGTCTCCGATTTTATGTCCCGATGCCTTACAGTAATTACAGGCGTTACGCTTGGGACAACGATTTTGTATGTGGCCAGGCTCTTTACAGAAGAAACACACAATTTCACCAGAGGCAGTGCGATGAAATTTGGGACGATCTTCCCCAACCGCAAAGGCCGAGGAATCAGCCGAGGCCTGCTGACCAGCGCGCGAGTCCGAAACGGCAAACGCCGAGGAACCCTCCGACTGGTGAAGGTCCAGCTTCGCTTGACTGCGAAGACGAGTTTCTTCGCGAACTAACTCTCCCAAGGCATCTTCTAAGGTCGTGACATTCCTATGCATCAAGGAGGAACGAATACCCTCAAATTCAGGCCGGAGTTTCATCAAAAAGTGCATCATCCGGGAGCTCGCACGTTCTTGGAGAACTTCAGTCGAGGCCTCAGAGGAGAGCATCGAGGCGGTCAAAAGATCTTGTTCATTCCATAAGCGGACCGCTTCCTGGTAGTACGAGCGGACATCAAGGTCGCCCTGATGAAGCCGAGCAAGATCAAGCTCGACCTCGAACCGGCGCGATGGACTGACTTGAGAATGGACGTCCTAAAGGTGCTTCCACATGGCGTGCGCTGTGGAAAAGCCACGCAAACTTAGGGCAATTGAGGGTTCCATTGATCCGAGCAGCCAAACCATGATTTGAGCATTATGCACAGCCCAATCTTCACGTTCCTGGGCAGGAGCAGTAGCGGCAGGTTCAGGCTTCGTGCCATCAAGAAGGGAAGACAAGCGACGCCCTTGAACAACAAACGGAACTGAAGTTCCCACAAGGCGAAATTCTTTCCGTTGAAGCGAACCGAGACACCATCGAGCTTGGAGGCCTCCATCACGAACAGCAGCCAACGTGAGCTACCCACCAAGCACGAACAAGGACAAAACACAGCCTGTCCCAACCAAACAAAGCACACCAGCAAACAAAAGAGCAGCGCCAAGCGGTGCAACACAACCAAAACCCGCCAATGATCAAGAAGATCCCAGAAGCAGCGGCGACCGAGAAAGAAAACCAACCAGCAGCGGCGAGCAGACCCAGAGCAGCAAGAGCCAAAGACCGCAAAAGCAGCAGAAGACAACCCTAAGCCCACGATGCAAGAAGAGGCTCTGATACCATGTTAAACACAAGATCAGAAGAAGGATCACAACACAGAACACACAGATTTACGTGGTATCCTCAACGTATTGTTGAGACTAATCCACGGAGAGGGCCAACCTCTCAGAGTCAATTGTATTAACCGAGAATCCTTAGGTTACAAGTTCAGCCAATGTCACATATATATACTGGCCGAATAACCCTAACTCGATGACCATAATGTAATTAACCAATACTTCTACCACAAGGATTAAAGGCTAATTACAATCAACACCCAATACTTCTGTTATGACATGTTGATAGTTAGTCAACAGGGTTGACTGTCCACTTGATGATCAATTTAAGGATTGGATCAAATTAGTCTGCGTAGTATATAGTTTAGAGCATAATGGACATTTCAAAAAATTCAAGTTGAATTGATTAAAGTTCAAACCAATTTAATGTATTAACCACGATGATATTTCCCTCCCTATCCCACCATGGATTTTGGCATTTATGATGCCTTTATTCATTGAAGAAAAGTTGGTTTATTTAAGTTAGTTTATTTTATAGCTGGATTGAAGTGTTATATATCACCAATGCTTTCAATCAAAATTCAATTATGCCTCCAAATTATATTTACTCCATCATACCTACACTTGAGGTCAAACTTTCATTTCATGAATTCTTGATTCTTGAGCATACAGTAAAATTGAGCTCGAAATATATTACATGATCTTTGAGACCCACATATTTTTGTTGGATAATCGCGCACACACTAGCTAAAACCTGCTTTGGCTTGTGAGATCGCTCCACTTACAGTACAAGCCGCCACCGCAGGAAAAGAATACACAAAATGGAAGCAAATCTCGACCAGGGAAAAACCTGTGAACAAAACGCGAGAAGCACACTCTACTGGTTATCCCCAACCAAAGTGTAGAAATTGCTTGATATGGCAATGGCGCTTGTTATCACAGCCAGAACTATCATTACTGCTGCGAACACCCTGTCCCTCTTTGTTGATATCCCATAAACATCCCTGTCATTACCAAAAAATAAGAAACACCATCAGACATTCAAGATTCTAAGGCATAAAGCTTGCATTTCTTTAGTGGGGAAGCAAGGTGGGGAAGTCACCTTAGCACAATCGAACCGGGGAAAATGAAGGCAAGGCAAACTGCAGAGGTTGATCCCATGAACTGAAAGAAATACCATATGTTTGGTATGGCAATCGCCAACAAGTAACTCAATACCAGCAAAGCGAACGTGATGGACAAGAATCTGGTAGTGTCTTTGGCCAGGAGGGGCTTCTTGGGGAAGAGGAACTCGTCGAGATTCGCCCTCAGCGAGAAGTTCAACAAGGGGAAAACCAGCATCAGGTGAAGAGCATAGCTCAGCCTTACGATGTCATTGAGCAACGCACCAGCTGCTGTATCGGAACTCTTATCAAAGTTCACAAGTATGTCTGCCATTATGGACTCACCAAACAGAAGGTATCCAAATATGCCGATTGCAAAGTAGATGGCTGCACAAAGGATCATCGAGATTCTGACTGCTGAAAGCATTGTTGATGGGTTTCCCAGCTCGAATCCAATGGGATGTACTGCAATCGTTTCACCAACCATTTTGTTAGACGGGGAAAAAAATACTGTTACAAGGGTAGTTACTTGTATTCAGGGGAAAAGGGTTTCACTTGCCATTGAAGTGGAATGTGAAAGCTGTGACGATGACAGGGACAGCAGTGAAGAGCTCAAAGAAGGAGGAATTGCTGTCTACTTCAGGTAACAGTCTAGGGGTGTTGGTTTTGCCTTGTATAAGTGCATAGACAGCCATCACAGAGGCTATGCCAACGAAGATCACTGCCAAGAGAACTGATACCGCTGAACTGAACTTCAATGACTCTGCAGAATACAAGAAACACAAAGCACCTCCAAATATTCAGGATCGAGCTACCAAGATCTTGGGAAGGAACATGAAAAGAATGGAATCAAAGATGAATAACCCACCAACCCGCTTGAACAGGACCAAAGGAAGCATCACAAGAATCACAACCAGAAAGAGTGCAAAAGCTCGAGTATTCCACCATGAAACCCCAAACCACTCTTGCAATACTCCCAAATGCTGCTCCGTCCCTGACAGCACATCCCCTGAAGAAACAACCAGAGATTAAATTTCCCCCCCAAATCCTCAATCAACTAGTAAAATGCATTCTTCCAAGTTGAATTGAAAACCCTTTTGTTTACTTCTTTAATTAGTCAAAGGCTTTGATCTCGAGCTTACCGATGATGATCAAGTAAATGATCAAGCACCCAAGATTAGTAATCATGACACAAATCTGGACCGCCGCGGATCCGAACCCGCCGAAGGCCTCCCTCATGACCCCAGCGTACGTCGTCGTCTCGCCGGAGTGCGTGTACCTCATGAGGAACTCGACGGAGACGTCGGCCAGCCAGGCGATGGCGACGATCATCAGGAACGCCGGTACCACCCCGAGCACTTTGAGCGTCGCCGGAATGGACATGATTCCCGCTCCGATTATGCTGGTGGACACATTGAACACCGCGCCGGTGACCGAGCCGTGCCTCCCTGCTCGCTTCTCGTGCTCCGGAAGTAGCGGAGCATTCGCTCCGGCCGCCGGCGACATAGTGGGAGAAACCTTTCTAACTTTTTCTCTGCCGGGTAGCTGCTGGCTGGTGCTATGAGTAAAAGCTGGGAGTCTATGGAGCTAATAATTGAGTGTGATAAGTTGTGGTAATGTGGGGGACGAGAGCTAAATGACGAGAAGGCCACTGTTGGGATGGATTGGTGGGAAGAAGGAAGGAAGGATGAGCTGTAAAGATATGGAGGACGGGAGGAGAATATTATTTACCGGATTTTAAAGGATGAATGTTGACAAAACGACAGCCAAAATACGTTGAAATGATGAAATGAATGTGGACGGAAATGCAGGCCACGTACCTACTACAGCAACGTGGAGAAATTTCACACGGCATCAGTTGGCCGCATAATTGAACTGGAAAGGCCAGTTCCGTCAAAGCAGAGATACGGATAACAAATTGGTTGTCTGTCTTTGTTATGCCGCTGCTGCTCAAGAGTAACGTTATACGGGTCCAAGATAGGGTCACTAACCACACGGGAGCCGTAAATTTGGGAATGGAGCAATCGTGTGGCTGGGCTGGATGTGGGGTGGGGAGGGGCATTTTTGTCCATTTTTGTATTTTTAATTTTTTTTATTCATTCTGTATTTCAATAGCTGACTTTTCAGTGAAAGAGAGAAAATGACATTTCTTCCTTCCTCTTTCTCTATTCCTTTCTTTCAATTTTTTTCCAGATCCTTTCTCTTCCTCTATACCTTCTCTCTTACTTTTTCTTTCACAATCTCCTTTTCAAATTTAGATCTGCTCTCTTCCTTCTTCATTTTTTTCTCTAGCAATCAACGAATAAAAATTGTAGTCACTCTCTTTCATTGCATTTCTTTTCTTCATCAACTCGTTGGCCTCAATTCCGATCTTTCTCATTTTTTTGGCATTTTGGTGTTCTTGATTGAGGAAGAGGAAATCAGAGGCATCAGAAGGAGATTTTTTTCTCTCCCTCCTTCATTTTTTTCCTTTTAGATAATAAATATTGATATTATTACTCTATACCATATGGTATTGGGTGGTAACGAAATATATATTGATATTACCAGTTTACCACACTATACCCTATGGTAATGTATGGTATTGCGTGGTAACGAAATATATATTGATATTACCACTCTATACCATATGGTATTGTGTGATATTACCATACTATATCATATGGTATTGTGTGGTAACGAAATATATATTGATATTACCACACTATACCATATGTTATTGGGTGGTAACGAAATATATATTGATATTACCACACTATACCATATGGTATTGGGTGGTAACGAAATATATATTGATATTACCACACTATACCCTATGGTAATGTATGGTATTGCGTGGTAACGAAATATATATTGATATTATCACTCTATACCATATGGTATTGGGTGGTAACGAAATATATATTGATATTACAACACTATACCATATGGTATTGGGTGGTATTGCATGGTAACGAAATATATATTGATTTTACCACTATATACCATATGGTATTGTGTGGTAACGAAATATATATTGATATTACCACACTATACCATATGGTATTGGGTGGTAACGAAATATATATTGATATTACCACACTATACCATATGGTATTGGGTGGTAACGAAATATATATTGATATTACCACACTATACCATATGATATTGGGTGATAACGAAATATATATTGATATTACCACACTATACCATATGATATTGGGTGGTAACGAAATATATATTAATATTATCATACCATGTGGTATGGTCTTATTTAATACCAGTCAATACCATATGGTATAGACTGGTAATAACTGGAAATTTTTTTATGTCCAAAAAATATCAAAGTGGATATCATTTTGAAGGGCACAATTAATCTGATCTAACTGTGCCAAAAAAATTAAATTCCTACTTAAAACGGGTGAGAAATCGTCCGTTAAAGATTAAGAGAAGAAAAATTAAAGCTTTTTTTGAGGAGAGAGAAGGAGGTGTTGATGTGGTTCGGTCAAAAGTCAGCGTCAGTATTAAAATAGGTGTAAGTGCAATTTTACCTTACTGCCCTTCCGCATTTAATTTAAATAAATAAAGAGGACTGACACGTGGAGATCAGAGAAGGAGTTACTGATGGGTTACTGACCCATCAGTTACTGACACCATCCGCTCCCCCTTAGAGGGGAATAAATCAGGTCAGTAATCTTATGGTGAGTAACTATGAGTAATCCGCCCACATCAGCATGACATCAGCATCCTCTCTCTCCTGGAAAGCCTTTAATTTTCCCCTCTTTAATCTTTGACGGACGATTTCTCACTCGTTTTAAGTCGAAATTTAATTTTTTTTCACAGTTAGATCAGATTAATTGTGCTCTTCAAAATGATATCCACTTTGATATATTTTTCGAACAAAAAAAATTGAGCCATTTTATACCAGTCTGTACCATATGGTATTGACTGGTATTGAAATAAGAGCATACTGCATACCTATGGTTCGAAAAGCGTACCATGGTGGTATGACACAAACCAAAACTGTAGGATGGTTGAATACATGATAGTAGAAGTATATTAATTGTCATTTACGACTTTTAACATTGTATACCATAAGATACCACCCCGTACCAGGGTGGTATTGTATGGTATTGTGTGGTATTTTTTGTCTTGTAATTTGTTCACCCAGAAATTTGTAGATCCAATAGATCATGATGAACTCGTCCCTGCTGTGCAAACGTTTTCAAAAACTAATTAAAAACAAAGAAGATACCATATGGTATGCAGTTGGTACCGAGAGGCCAGAATTTTTTTTTCCTCAATAAATATTGAAAAGTGATCTCATTTTGTAGAGCACGATGAACTCGTTCCATCTGTGCAAAAAAAATTAAAATCGGAGTTAAAACGAAAAAGATATGAGTCAATTAAGAAAGATTGTGAAAATAAAAATGACTTTTAATTCTCCATCCTTAGATCTGAATTTTCTAAATGAAGGGTCCAGATTTGGTTATTGATGGTGCACCCTAACTTGACCCCCTTAGAGTGAGTAACAATAAGTAACCAAATCTGGACCTTTCTTTTAAGTGATTGCACATCTAAGGGTGGAGAATTAAAAGAATTTCTTTTCCCTAGTTTTCTTAATTGGATCATATCTTCTTCATTCTAACTCGGATTTCAATTTTTTTTGCACAGATGGAACGAGTTCGTTGTGCTCTACAAAATGATATCCATTTTCAATATTTTTTGAGAAAAAAAATTTCATCCCTCTCGTTACCAACTCCATACCATATGGCATCTCCTTCGTTGTTTAGTCATTTTCGGAAATTTTTGCACAAAAGGAACGATTTAATCATGATCTATTGGATTTCAAAATATTTTGGGGAAATTTTTTTCAAACTTCTCGTTGCCAACTCCATACCATACTATGCCACCCTGGTATGAGGTGGTATTTTTCATACCATATGGTATGCTGTTATTTAATACCATATGGTATTGACTGGTATTAAATAACAGCATACCATATGGTATGAAAAATACCAGTCAATACCATATGCTATTATTTAATACCAGTCAATACCATATGGTATAGACTGGTAATAACCGGCAAATTTTTTTTTGTTCCAAAAAATATTAAAGTGGATATAATTTTGAAGAGCACAATTAATTTGATCTAACTGTGCAAAAAAAATTAAATTCCGAGTTAAAACGAGTGAGAAATCATCCGTTAAAGATTAAGAGAAAGAAAATTAATGATTTTTCCAGGAGAGAGAAAGAGGCACTGATATGGCAGATTCTTATTGGGTTATGCATGAGGTTACTCACCACAAGGTTACTCACCAAATCTGCTCTCCGCCGCTGCATAAGGGTGAAAATTTTACCCGACCCACATGTGCCAATGGCGGATCCAGATTTTTTTTAGGGATGTCCTCTTCAAAAAATTAAATTAATAATTAAATAATAAAATTAAATAATACATAAATACTAAAATATCCAATTAGTACAAATGTGACAAAAAGCCACGATGTGTTTTCATATTTCGAAAAAATATATAAGATAGATTGGTGTCTACACTGCTCAACAAATCGTTATATCCTACTAGATCGCATATTCAATTTCTAACCTTGTTCATGATGTAATTAAAAGTTGAAAAGACTGTTTCAACACTTGCAGTGTAACCATAAAATCAATTCAAATTAGGGGTACCCCTGGGGATAAGAAATCGTATTTTTACAATAGAACAATAAATGAGTTATAACCTAATGGAGAATATGTTTAATAATAGGAGTGTCCTATATTTGAATAACACAGAGTACCACTTATATTTTTTAATCATACGCAAACTATTATCAAGGGTAAGATAATCGTTTATTAAAATTTTAGGGATGTCTCAGGTTACCAATTATATTTTGTTTATCCATACGAAACTACTATCGAGAGTTGGATAATCGTGTTCCTAAAATTTAAGGGTGTCCCGGGGCACCCCTAAATCACCATGTATCCGCCACTGCCCGTGCCATCCAAACCGACTCATCCGAACAAACCGCAAAAATAGAGAGTCACACGGTTGGCTGTGGCCTGGTTAGCATGCTCGGACTGACCAACAATCGATTTTTGGTTGCAAGTTAGTTTTGAGTTTTGCACGTTTATCATTGGGTTGGTTGAGTAGTGAAGATATGTGGGCACAATAATGATATTTATGAATTGTTATTTTTTTTATTTCAATTTTATTATTATTAGAGCAAAGTCCTAATAAGTAGGGGTGGCTATACGGTCCGGTCCGGTTAAATTGGCCGTAATTGATCTGGTCCCGGTCCGGTCTTTTCGAGAATATAAGGACCAAAGATTGGATTGGATACAGTCCGGTCTTGATCCGGTCTGGTCCCAATTCGTTCTTGATTTTAGATTGAGCTTGTGGAGATTTGAGTGGCTTGAGGGGAGATTGAGTGACCTAAGGCCTGAAGGGGTGAGGAGGTTAAATTTTGGGTGTTGGGCTCTCTTATTTGGTCTTTATCCGGTTTTCGTTCCGGTCCCAAATGGTATTTTACCTCAAATCTAAGCCCAAAAATTGGATTGGATTGTTTGCTATCCGATCCCGGTCCCGTCTCGGTCCGGTTTTGGGTACAACCAAAAAGTCCGGACCAAATAGCCAGCCCTACTAATAAGGCGGTGAATGAGTCTCCTGGGAATATTGTTTATGGATAACCCCCCAGCTTAGCTGTTATCAGTAAGGCGGTGAATGGTGCGTGGTCATGTGCGGTGG